AAAAAAAAAATCTAGATACTTGAGCTTACAGTTATTGGGGAGAAAGGACATACAATTAATTAGGTGGTCTCATAAATGAGAAGGGAATTTTTAACTTTGAGTTCTAACAACCATAACTGGCAACGAATGGACTAAAACAGTTTAAAAATGTGACTATTTTAGATGAACAAAACCATCTCACATCTTATAACCATAGCAATTTTAATATTGGCCATTAAACCACCAGCATGCAAGTTAATTATTATGTCATTCAATAAATTATTTTTATAAAAAGAACCACAGATCTTAGCAATGGAAGGGATTTTGAATTCATCTGATTGAAGCCAACTGAAGTATTCACGTTTTACAGATGAGAAGCTAATAGCCAAGAAAGATTAAAAGACTTGCTAAAGCCTATAATAAACCAGGGATGAGAAGGGCATACCCCTAAATCACCCTCTCGGCTCCTACTTCCTTCTTATACATTCACCCTGTGACACTGCAGTTAAAGAACACAAGTGTTTTAAATGTATTTTAATTTGTAATGTATTTTTCTGTTTGCAGGAAGATATTCCTCGTCAGCTTGTCTACATTGGTCTTTACCTCTTTCACATTGCTGGAGCTTATCTTTTGAAGTGAGTTGGATTTTGCTTGGGTGTGTAAGTAGACTGGGCAGATAGTATCCTAATATTATCTTAATTGATAATGTTTCCATTTTAAATTTGTTCTTTTAACAGCTTGAATCATCTAGGACTTGTTCTTCTGGTGCTGCATTATTTTGTTGAATTTCTTTTCCACATTTCCCGCCTGTTTTATTTTAGTGATGAAAAGTATCAGAAAGGGTAAGTTATTTAGCCATTCTTTTTCTTGTGTAGCAAGTATTTGATTGCTAAAGCCCATACCCTGGACAATGATGTTACTTTTTATGCTGGTATTTTAATCTCTAAAATGGAGTCTTTTTCAGCTAAAGAGATCAGCAATTTTCAAGGCTTTGGGGATTTACTTTTCTGTTATAAATTTTCCTGCTTTGTTTTTTGCAGGCATTTTATTTGGAAAAGAAGTGAGAGAGAAATAAACTTTCAGAAGAAAATGAAAGAATAGATAATGCGACTTTAAAGATACTAAAAGAGGTCTGGCAGAGTGGCTCAAGTAGTAAAACACCTGCCCAGCAAGCACAAGGCCCTGAGTTCAAACCCAGTTACACACACGCACACACACA